ATTGGATGTATTGTTACAGAATGTCAGTCACAATTGGATATTTTTTAGTCCAGCAAGAAAGTAAGTCTTTATGACAATAGTATTAGTTTTTAGTATAGAATTCTTAGTGAAAATAGATATGGGTGTACGAGTGTGAAAGGGTGTTAGTTTCAGATTCGGTTTCCTTTATTTACGAAATTATGTTAGTTTATGGTATTTGAATTCTTGAAAGTTGATAATATTTAATAAGCAGTTGAATGGAAGGAGAGGTATCTCCGGCATTTTCTATTTCCAATTGAATTTATCGAAGAGACCAACCGGTGTCTCGGTTTATTGGTAACATTTTTCCCCAACTCTCCATCTTAATTCCTCTGTTTTTATCATCATAGGTAAGGGAAATAAGCCCAACTTTTCAGGGTATATACCATGTACATATTGCGTTATGGTGTTTTTGTTGATATTAGGAAAAGATCCAAGCAGTTTGAAAAATGATAAATGACGGAATGTTTCTCATAATAAATGGTTCCCTTCCATGTAATAGAAGAGACTTCTCTCCAATCTGAGGTAATAATCCACGTTTGCAAGTGTGACTACCATCCATGGGTGGAGGAGACAGTAGTGAGAAACTCCTACTTGACATTAACATCCGCAAAGGTCTAGTTATCTAGATGATGCCCATTGAAATTAACATCTCTTATTTAATATTTGGCAAGAGAAGATGACTTGTTTAGCAGCATAAACTGAGCCTATTAATGCACACGGAAAAGAAGACGAATCATCTTTTTAATGCTTGTTTAAATGTCAGTGTTTTACTTTTCCAGTGAATAATCTCATTTCTGTCTTTGGTACTGATTTTGTGTCCCACCTGCATTATGCTTCTCGTGACAGATTCATATTCTTTGGAAGCCTTGTAGAACAATGGCACATATGAATTCTTTTTTCTGTTTATATTTTGTTCAGATTCTTTTTGTTTGTGCATTGGATTAATACATTGCAATTGCAGGAAGCTATAGTTCTACCCTCATTTGTCGCAATAGCAATTCACCCAAGACCTGGTGTTTGGGACTTGTTCGTGTCAATGTGAATGAACTGACTGTGGAACAATTAATTGTTCAAGAATATCTTTGCTTCAAAGAACTTGTGGATGGGGAGTGAGGAACCTCTCTTGAAATTGTTCAATGATTATGAATTTGTTGATTTCCTTGTTTGATGTGACATACTTGATAAATGACAAGATTCTCATAGATAATTGCTGCCTTTTTTACATATTTAATTTCTCACAAGTTTAATTAAAATTTGGAATTTGGAACCTGGTCTAGGTACAATGGAAATTATGTGCTTGAACTTGATTTTGAGCTGTTCAATACAATAGTTCCTAGACTAACTCAGTCATCTTCCATTGGCAATGGGGTTTAATTTCTCTATCATCACCTATCTTCAACCATGTTCCGTAATAAAGAAAGTTTGGAGCCTTTGCTTCATTTTCTTCGCACATAATGGGCATGTGAGTCTTCTTAACTTTTGGCATTGACATTATGATCTTTGCTCCCCATTCAGAAAATGAATAATAATAATAATAATAACAATCATAACAACAACAAAGGAGGTTTGTAATTTGCATGAGGAGACTTAAGATAATTTTTATTTTACCAATGTGTTTTGCAGGTGATGATGCTGACTGATGGGATACATACAATATCTGGACTCCAGTTTGCTTTGGCAAGGGCAGAGGAATATCTTTCCCACCAGATGAAACATACTCACAGTTTGAATATGTATGAGTGACAATCTCTCAAGACAACTCTTCTTGCTTAAATAGAAATAAGCCTCAAAATATAGAGCTTCCTCCTTTTTAAGTGAGGCAAAGTTGCTAGATAAACTTGGGGAGATGAAGGTATTGGATTTTGACAGTGAGATCAATTGAGTAAGTTTTTTGGCATTACATTTCATTCAATAGAAAGCCTATTGTTAATTGTAGATTTTATGACTGATGATAATGAGAAAGGAAGGAAGTTAACTATAAATACAATTGGTGACCAAATGATAGCCTATAGTTTGAAGACAAAACAGCTTCATTACATTCTTTTTCTTTTTCTTTTTCTTTTCTTTCTTTATTTTTTATTTTTTATTTTTTTTCAGTTCATTATTTCAATTTTTTTTCCTCTCTAGGCCACTTCTTCTTAAGTATGGCCTTGATAAATAGGTTAGATTAGATCAACTATTTAACACTTAAGTACTGGCTTTATTGCAATGGAAGGACTGGGTTTATTTTAGTCATGGAAGTGACACAGTTTCTTAAATCATATTTGTAGATAGCAGAATTTTGATTGCCCTCTTTAATTTGTCATATTTGGATGGAAAATCCAATTATATGTATGCAAAAGTTGTTGGACCAACGAAGGTTGGCCTGAGTTGAAGGAGCTCTGGTCGCTTAAGCAAGTGGTCTCGGGTTCGAGTCCTTGTCGATGAAGCAAACCTTCTTGGGAGAGGTCCCTGCCTTGGCGCCCGACCGTACCTCAGAGGATTAGTCCTGGTGAAGCCTGGGGATTCCTTGGGAAACCAAAAACAAAAGAAGTTGTTGGAATCCTCATTGTCAATTGTGGTCTATTTTTGTTCTGCTTTGTATATTTATATGTATTTGTTTGTATGGACTTTTCTATGCTTGATAGTTTGTTATTCAATCATATAGCCTGATTACCTTGTCTGGAGCCAAAACAACAGAAGCATCCAATATCATGAGCTGAGATTTTATCCTGAATGAACCTTCTTTGTTTTCATACATTCTGCAATTTTCAGATTTTCATTTGTAACTTATTTTCATTTTTGGTCTAATTTTTTCCCCTATTAGTTCTAACAAAGACCGAGCAAAGGAATGAATTAAGGAGCTACGAAGCTAATTACTATGGTTGCCTAAATCCTTGATTTCTATTTCCGCTCCATGTAAATTTCTTCTTCAAGATCACCATGAAGAAATGCGGTCTTCACATCAAGTTGTTCAACTTCAAGGTTCATACTTGCAGCCATGCCAA